TCTGGGGGCCCCGCGCCCCGTCCTGGGGCCGGCGATGCGCTGCCAGGGCTGAGGATGATGGTAGATTGCCAGGTGAGTGCCACGCCCGGCCCGGCCGCCCTCCGGGCGTCGCGGGCGGAGGGAGGACCGCATGCCCCCCGCCACACCCCATCCGGCGGGGAGGGAGCGCGGCGCCGGGTCCACGCTCAGCGCGCGCTTACGCAGTTCCGCATTCAACCCCTCCTGGTACAGCTGGGAAACTGAGACCAGGAGAGAGACGGGGACTGGTCCCGGGCCCACGAGGTGGGCAGAATCCAGAGTGGGGAGGGGGAGTGGGGTTCCGGCCTTCTAGGCCAGCCTCAACTTCTCCCATTGGGTTTCCTTTGACAAGGAGAGCCCCTGAGATCCTGGGGCACCCCTGTCCACCCTCTGGGCATCCCCACTTGGGCACAGGCGCACGCGCGCACACATACAAACACACTGACTTCACAGGTGGGGACCACGGAGTGGGTTCAGAGGAGGAGTGCACCCGCGGAGGTGACGGGGAAAGAAAAAGGGGCAGGAGCGTCTTGTCTCCTAGCAACAGGCCGGGGGCCCAGAGCATAGGAAGGGAGAGATGACAGGCTGATGACCAGAGGTCTCCAAGGTACCTAAGGGTCTGCTTAAGCCGGGGCCATCCCCAGGGCCGCCTGGAGAGGACAGGGTCTGGGGTCCAGCATCCTCTCTCGGCAACTGGAACCAGGAGCAGACTCCCTCCCCCAGTGTGGGTGGGGCTACAGGGGAGAAAGCCTCAGCCTCTTTACACTGTGAGGTGCATAGGTGGTGTGACACCGAGGGTCCCACAGGCTCCTAGACAAGTATGTTGTCCTCGGTTCTCCACCCACGACCCCCGGTGCTCCACGTTCAGGGAGAATGGTTTCTATTCCCTCGGGGTCCTTCTGAGCAGAGGGCAGCCTGGGGCTTGGAGGTCTTTGGACCTGGGCAGTGCAGAATGTGACAGGGTCCTTGGGTCCTCATCTGGAAGCGAGTTTGCGTTATGGCCCTGGCTGGGCTGAGGAGGCTTCGTGAATGAACCGGACACCAGGACAGCGGAGGGAAAGGGGGCTGCGGGGGAGGCTTCAGAGGTCCTCACATCCCCCGGAGCCGGCAGGTCCCGCCCCTTTGCCCCTCGGGCTCAGGGCGAGCTGCTGCCTTGACGACATCCAAACAAAGGTGTGTGTTTTGTTTTCTGGATCTCGTGCCTGGGGCTGCAGTGCTGGGGCCGACCACCAGGGGGAGAGCTGTGCCCACTCTGCTCAGTGGAGCAACCGGAGCAGAAGAGG